AGCACAATCGGAGACTGACGTAGATGAGGCCAATGTAAAAGTACAGCAGTATTGAATTTGTTGGGACTTGTCCACAGCAAGCATTGCCACCGCCTTGTCTCTGCTAAATCTTAGCACAAAAGAGTTGACGCATTTCCGGAAATTGATCTAAAAAATGGTCCTCTTACTGTTGACTAGGTAGCATCCAGCCAGTCAATCAATCAATCGCTTACTGAATTGTCCACATGGTTCTGACAGATTTCCATACAGAAGATAATACATTGGAGCAGAGCTATTTTGTCTCAGTTTGTCCAAGCTAAAAGACCATGCCGGGAGGGCTACCACCCAAGTGGTACAGCAACTGTTTGGTGTAAATCAATAGTAGACCCGCTACAATGCATCCACTACTCCAGCCTTGCTTGGTTAGACAAGAGCTACCCCAGCAAATAGCAAGTCCATCAATATCCCGTATATTTCTCCTGCAGGGTCCTCTTCCTTCCCGTTATATTTCCCTTCCCAGGTGCAATGCTTATGACACACTTCATGACACAAGCCAAACTCTGGTCTCAATTAGTGTTTCAATAATGGATCAGTCCCAATGAATCCTTTCTCCACATTGCCACCATCAACACTGAGCCCCACCAAACGTTAACAAAAGCACAGGAAACACTGTGCAGAGGGAAAAGGGAGAGGGGTGAACTTGGGGCAGGAAAGCCATGGGGAATCTAAGACCTTCATGTTGCCATCATCCCGTTCAGTTTTTGAGATCAACAGCCGACTTAGACAAACACCTGCATGAGAAACTGGACAACCCTGGTTGCCAGAATGTGGCACAATGCAAACATTAGGTCTTTCTGCCAGATACAGTTGCAGTCATTTGGGGGGCTAACGGAGCTATTTATCATGCCTAAAACCAGGTCCAGTCTCAACTATACAACAGAAAAATGACAACTCAAGACACTCTACAGCAATGTTTCTCAACCTTCCTAATGCTGCGACCCCCTTAATACAGTTCCATTTTATGGTGGTGACCCCAACCATAAAATTATTTTCATTGCTACTTCGTAACTGTAATTTTTCCACTGTTATGAATCGTAATGGAAATATCTGATATGCAGGATGTATTTTCATTCACCGGACCAAACTTGGCACGAATACTCAATATGCCCAAATGTGAACACTGGTGGAGTTTGGGGAAAATAGATCTTGACATTTGGGAGTAGTAGTTGCTGGGATTTATAGTTCTCCTACAATCACAGAGCATTCTGAACTCCACCAAGGATGGAATTGAACCAAATTTGGCACACAGAACTCCCATGATTAATAGAAGCATCCTCTGGGCATTGAACTTGAGTTTGAGAGTTGTGGTTCACCTACATCCAGAGAGCACTGTGAACTCAAACAATGATGGATCTGGATCAAACTTGGCACAAATGCTCAATACACCCAAATGTGAACACTTGTGGAATTTGGGGGAAAATAGACCTTGACATTTGGAAGTTGTAGTTGCTGGGATGTCTAGTTAACCTACAATCAAAGAGCACTCAGCCCACAATTGATCTGCCCCAAACTTGGCTCACTACCTACATGGCCAACATTGCATACTGGTGGGGTTGGAGGGGCTGTTTTTGAATTCTGGGAGATCACCTACAATCAAATTGCATTCTGAACCCCACCAATGAGAGAATTGGGCCAAATTTCTCACACAGAACCTCCATGACCAACAGAAAATTCTGTGTTTTCTAATAGTCTTTGGCGACCTTTCTGACACCCCCCTCACAACCCCCAGGTTGAGAAACACTGCGCTACAGTCGGGATTGCAAATCAACACACCCCTCCTTGTGTGTTCACAGGACATCAAGCCATTACTCATGACCACACAAAGACTTGGGACCTCATCAGATACAGGGTTCCCCCAGTTTCTACATACTTTTGAAACCGTTCATAGACGGAGCCCATCATAACTACTTCTGCAAAACTACTTCCGCTGGTCGCCCGGAGCACTCTGGTCCATAAATGGTTTCAAAAGTGTGTAGAAACTGAGGTTTATGGAGTCAGGGATGAATCATGTTAAAAGCCCCCAATTTGCAATGGAAATGGCTTGAGGCACTTCAATGTCATGTGAGATGGGATCTGTCAGATCCACCTTGTTTTTGATCATTTGAGCGACGTTGAAGAAAGGGTGGTCAGCTATCCTCTTGCTTGATTTTTTTTAAAAAAATATTTGTTTTTCAGGAATTGCGCAGTTTCAAGATCTCACCACTTCACTGTTGCCCCCTGGTTTTTATCCTAGATTTCAGACTTCTGCAACAGATGAGCTTTTCCTGTCTTTAATTTTATTTTAAGTGGGGCATGGGTTTCCAAGTGCGATAGCTGCAAACCTGAAGGGTTACAGGCAGTCCCCAAATGACAACCAAGGTTGGTTTTGTCGGTTTGTTCTTAAGCCAAATTTGTATGTAAGTAGGAACAGGTCCACTTCAGTCCACTATAGCTATCTATCCATCTATCCAGCTAGCTAGGTTTGGATAGCACAGGGACGGGTTAATATCCCTGTGGTGTCTCTTTTGATACTTATTGGGAAGATTTCCACTCACTTTTTGTCCATATGGGAGTGGGATTTGGGAAAATGTAGCTTGTTGTAGAAACAAGGATTGGGGGAAAAGCTTCAATGGAAACCCCTTTCCCCCATGATAACAACTCTTCCAGGAGTGGATTTCCAGTCCTTCCAAGGGACAGAGTTCCCTCACTTCCTGTTGTCTCAGCCCCGTTCTTAACTAGGAGTCATTTGTAAGTCAAATGTTTGTAACACGGAGGCTGCCTGCATGTTATTCCTACAATTATGAATTCCATAGGTGGATGCTAAAATCCACTTCAGGTTCTTCTATAGTTAAAATGGTATCACCTACGCACAAGAAAGATATTTATAGGTAGTGTGGGGGACATCCATGAGTAGCCATGGCTTGAAAATATGTAAGAGTTATCCTTGTCCAGGCGGTCCTTGTGTTATGAAGAAGAGAGTTTCTGTAGGTTGGTGCTTAAGTGGAATTTGTATGTAAGTCAGAACAGGTAAATTGTTTTAAGTATAACTCCAGCCATATATATATAGTAAAGGTTTCCCCTTGACATTAGATCTAGTTGTGTCCAACTCTAGGGGATGGTGCTCATCTCCATTTCTAAGCCGAAGAGCCGGAGTTGTGCATAGACACCTCCTAGATCATGTGGCCAGCATGGAATGCCATTACCTCCCCACAGAAGCAGTACCTATTAACCTACTCACATTTGCATGTTTTCAAACTGATAGATTGACAGAAACTGGGGCTAACATCTGCTCCCTGGATTTGAACTGCCAACATTTCAGTCACCAAGTTCAGCAGCTCAGAGGTTTAACCTGTGGTGCCACCAGGGGGCCCATAAATATATGGCTGGAGTTACACTTAAAACAATGTATATGTGTGTGTGTGTGTATACACACACACACACACACATATATACACACACAATATATATACCAGTGGTTCCCAACCTGTGGACCACCAGTGGAACTAAAATATGGTCCACGGCCTCAGCGTTACTACACCGTTACAATGAGAACGACTGGTCTGATGAAACCCTCATAATATAGTGGTGAGGCTTATTAATTATTGTTTTCTGTGAGCAGGCAGCTGGCGATTGAAGTTCTGCATCAGAAACTAGAGCTGATGTGGTCTATCCAAGGCAATTTTCTGAATCAGCACTCCAAATAACCAAAGGAAGGAACCTAGAGTTGACCAAATACTGATCTGTAACCCTTTTGGTACTAAATGTTGGAGAGTGGTCCCTGGTCAAGTGGTGCTTGGTCAAAAAAAGGTTGGGAACCACTGATATATACAATATATATGAAAAAAGATCTGGGGGTCCTTGTGGACAACAAGTTAAACATGAGCCAACAATGGGATGCGACGGCAAAAAAAGCCAATGGGATTTTGGCCTGCGTCAATAGGAGTATAGTATCTAGATCCAGGGGAAGTCATGCTACCCATGCTCTATTCTGCCTTGGTCAGACCACACCTGGAATATTGTGTCCAATTCGGGGCACCACAATTGAAGAGAGATATTGACAAGCTGGAATGTGTCCAGAGGAGGGCGACTAAAATGATCAAAGGTCTGGAGAACAAGCCCTATGAGGAGTGGCTTAAAGAGCTGGGAGAAGGCTGAGAGGAGACATAATAGCCATGTATAAATATGCGAGAGGAAGTCATAGAGAGGAGGGAGCAAGCTTGTTTTCTGCTGCCCTGGAGACTAGGACACAATGGAGCAATGGCTTCAAACTACAAGAAAGGAGATTCCACCTGAACTTCCTGACTGTGAGAGCTGTTCAGCAGTGGAACTCTCTGCCCTGGAGTGTGGTGGAGGACCCTTCTTTGGAAGCTTTTAAACAGAGGCTGGATGACCATCAGTCGGGGGTGCTTTGAATGCAATTTTCCTGCTTCTTGGCAGGGGTGGACTGGATGGCCCGTAAGGTCTCTTGTATATGATTCTATATATACATATGCATACACATGTATTCATACACTCACTATCTATCTATCTATCTATCTATCTATCTATCTATCTATCTTGTGTGTGTGTTTATATATGTGTCTATGTATAGAAAAGCTTTGGAGAGCATAGGGAGGGGAGAATCCCCCTGTGGTGTTTCTTTTGCTACCTGTGCCCCTTCAGAAGATGTCCCTTCACTTTCTGCGAGAATGGGATTGTGCCAAAATTGGCTTGTTGTGGAAAGGAGGAATTGGGGAGACAGCTTCAGTAGAGACACCTTTCCCCCATGATGAGAACTCTTCCAGGAGAAGATTTCCCTTCCTTCCGAGGGGGAGAGATTCCTTTTTCCTGTTGTCTCAGCCCTGTTCTGAACTCGGATTCGGATGGAAGTGGGATGCCTGTAACTCGGGGACTGCCTGTCCTGGAGAAATGGCGGGGGGGGGGGGGGGGTTGTTGTGGGAGGGTGAAGCTGGCCTGGGTTGTGATTCCAGAGAAGGACTCACGGCTCCTGGGGAGGCGTCCTCGGTGGCGGGGGCTGCTTGGGTCCTGGACGTCATCAAGCCAAAGGCGAGGAGCAGGAGCATCTCCAGCGGGGCCCCGCTCCGGAGCATCCCTCTCTCCTTCCTTCCTTCCTTGCCCCTTTCTGCCGCTCTTCCTCTACTCCTGCAGCCTCCCGCGGGGATAGCCGGCGGAGGGCGGCATCCGGACCCCTCAAGGCAGCCAGGCCATGCCAGGCCAGGCAAGCTCTCCTTCTTCCCCGAAGACGACGCCAAGGCAGCGCGCTCAAGCCCTTCTTCGCCTGGGCGTCAGGGGAGGGGGAGGAGCCGGAGGAGGAAAGGGGGCGGGCGGAAGGCGAAGGGGGCGGGGGCTCGGGCGCCGCAGCCTCGGGGAGGGAGGGAGGGAGGGAGGCAGCCAGCCACTGGGAAGGTCCCCGCGCCTCTCTCCGCCTTGCTTCCTCCCAACGCGCAGCCAAGCCCCCCCCCCCTGCTGCCCTGTTGCTTCCTTCGAGAGAAGAGAGCCCTCCTCTTGGCCCCCGCAGGAGGACAGCGTGCATCCAAGCGCACGCCTTGCAGCGCGGCCCTGATTCCCTCTTCAGCACCACGGACAGCGCCCCCGGCTCACCCCGCTCCGGACCCGCTGAGGAGACGCTCCCAAACCCGACAGAGCAACGCGGAGGGACCACATCCGGTACGGCCACGGCGTGTCGCTCCGTGTCGCTCCGCCCTTGCTTTCTTCTGCCTTGGAGGGAGATTCCAAAGCTTGGCCTGCCTTCTTGGTGCCTCTCAGGAGTCTCGCTTGGGTTGGTTTGGGAGGTTGGGCTCCCAGAAGGGAACCATCAGAGAAGCCTGGAACACATCCGGGCGTCTTTGTAGACGGCTGAGCCTCTCACAACAGAAGCAACTTGCAGCATGCAACTAAACCAACCAACAGACCAGTGATACTATGATAGCTGGTACTGAGGCCTCATGGCGCTATGCTGATGACAACGTCGTCTGTGCACATTCAGAAGAAGACCTATAAGCTACTCTAAACACCTTCGCAGAAGCAAATGAGAAGCTCGGCCTGTCATTGAACATCGAGAAAACCAAAGTGCTCTTCCAGCAGTCACCAGCCAATCCCTCTCCAATGCCAGAAATACAGCTTAATGTTGACCATTTCCACTACCTTGTCAACCACCTCTCCTCAAAAGTCAACATTGGCACTGAAATACAACACCGCCTGAGCTCTGCGAGTGCAGCATTTTTCCGAATGAAACAGAGAGTGTTTGAGGACCAGGACATCCATAGGGATACCAAGGTGCTTGTTTATAAAGCTATTGTCCTCCCAACCCCGCTATACGCCTGCGAGACATGGACCATTTACAGACGTCACATGCAACTCCTAGAACGATTCCATCAGTGTTGCTTCTGAAAAATCCTGTAAATCTCCTGGGAAGACAAGCAGACAAACGTCGGCATACTGGAAGAAGCAAAGACCACCAGCATTGAAGCGATGGTCTTCCGCCATCAACTCCGCTGGACCGTCCATGTTGTCCAAATGTGTGACCACCGTCTCCCAAAGCAGTTGCTCTACTCAAGAACGGAAAACGGAATGTTGGAGGACAGGAAAAGAGATTTAAAGATGGGCTCAAAGCCAACCTTAAAAACTCTGCCGTAGACATGGAGAACTGGAAAGCCCTGGCCCTTGAGCACTCCAGCTGGAGGTCAGCTGTGACCAGCAGTGCTGTAGAATTTGAAGAGGCACGAATTGAGGGTGAAAGAGAGAAACATGCCAAGAGGAAGGCGCGTCAAGCCAACCCCGACCAAGACTGCCTTCCACCTCGAAACCAATGCCCTCACTGCGGGAGAAGATGCAGATCAAAAATAGGGCTCCACAGTCACCTACGGACCCACCAGTACACTGATTTTGGAAGACTATCCTACTCGGTCAATGAGGGATCGCCTAAGTAGTAGTATTCTGTTTCCGGAGCACTGCTTTGGAAACGCTGTTTGCAGAACGGAGGGTACCAGTGAAGTAATGTAGTGGATGCGGGACACAGAAACCACCACAGAATCCGTGGAAGTATATCACTGAACACACAGGGATAACACTGACTGAATTTTAGTTGTTTATTGAGAAGTGATAAACAAAGGTTTGGGTAACACATAAGACTGAAGGAGGGAGGCAGTAATCCATATCCTGACTCCACACTAACTGTAACAGTGAATGAATTGTAGTTCTTTATTGAGAAGTAATAAACAAGGGTTTGGGAAACACATAACACTGAAGGGGGGAGACGGTACCCCACATCCTGGCTCCCCACAAACTTGCAACACTCCTTGTATTTCCCCCCTCCTTTCTATCCTTCCTTCTAACCCAACAACACATTACCTTCTAAGCCAAAGCGCCTCTGTGTCTCACTCCGGCCGCTCTCACTCTGCCCTCTGTACGACCACATGGTCGGACAGGTGTTCCCTTCCCTTATTCACAACTGCCATTGGGGAAACAGCATAGCACCATGAGGCCTCAGTACCAGCTATCATACTATCACCAACAGACCTTTTCAGGACCAACTTACCTGTCCGAACGTATCTCCCCTTACGAACCACTGAGGATATTGTGGAATTTTCTGCCTTGATATTCTGGAATATAGGGTTGTGTGGAAGAGACCCCAGTTCTTTAAGAGGCTCCTGAGAAGGATTATTCATGGTCTCCAGACCTTTGATCATTTTAGTTGCCCTTCTCTGGACACCTTCCCGTGGGTTTTTTTTTTTCATATAAGGAGTGACTTGAAAAAGTGCAAGTCGCTTCTGGTGTGAGAGAATTGGCTGTCTACAAGGACATTGCCCAGGGGATGCCCAGATGTTTTGATGTTTTACCATCCTTGTGGGAACCTTCTCTCATGTCTCTGCATGGAGAGCTGGAGCTGAAAGAGGGAGCTCATCCATGCTCTCCCCAGATTCAAACCTCTGACCTGTCGGTCTTCAGGCCTGCTGGCACAAGGGTTTGCGCCACTGGGGGTTCTGGTCCTTCCAGCCTATTCCCCTTAAATGCCTTTGCCCAGCACTGGGCACAGCATTAATCCCAGCAAGGTGGTATGGTCAAAGTAGAAGAGAGGGACAGCATGACTTGCCTTGATCAAGACACTATACTCCTCCTGATGCAGCATGATTGTCTTCCAAGGGTAGAGGCTTGGGGCTTGGTCTGTAAATGACTTTGAAGACCTGATCTGGATCCACATGGTCTTTCTTTCACAATGAGGACATTGATGGAAGGCAGTCAAAATAAGGGTTTGCTTGGTGTGCCTTCTTCTTCTTGGCACATTTCTACCATTTGCTTTCCATTTGTGTCACTTCAAACTTCACAGCACTGTTGGTCACAGCTGACCTTCAGTTAGATCAGTGGTTCCCAACCAGTGGTCCATAGACCACAGGTGGTCTGTAAGAAACAGAAAAGTGGTCCGTGGGTATCTTGCTCAGAAAACGTGAGTCAGCATAGCATGACTGTTGAGGAAGGGGCCCTGCAGGCATAATTCCCCCCCCACACACACACACACACACACCCTTCTACTCCTGTTGGCCCTCCCCTTCTCCTTCAACCCAAATAAAGACCTGGCTCCTGCTAGCCTGTTCACAGTCTCCTTCTTCCAACCCAGCCACCCCCTCCTGTCACCTGGGTTTGCAAATGAGGCTCAGGTAGCAACAGTCTCCTCAAGCCCAGGCAAGGAAGGAAGGCTCCAATGCTTCCCTTCTCACCCCCATCCCTTTGCCCAGCATTGGACCCTTCCTTCCTTATCTGCCCTTGATGAGGCTGATGCCAGAGTCCCATTTGCAGCCTCCTCTTTGCAACCCCCCCCCCCCCCCACCTCCCGCAAGAAAAAAAAGGCTAAAACCATGGGCAAAGGGCAAGATTGGCAGTATTGGATCCTTCCTTCCTTGCTTGCTTGGGCTTGAAGCTGCTGCTGCCAGAGCCCCAGTTTCAGACCTAGGCAGCAGGGAGCTGGGTTGCAAGGAAGATATTGCAAACAGGGCTCTGGCAGCAGACTCCTGAGCAGCAGGCAAGGAAGAAAGGGTCCAATGCTGGGCAAAGGGAGGAAGCAGGAATGGTGATGTCAGATTCTTCATTCCTTACCTGCTTTTGAGGCAAGGAATTAGGAAGAACTTCCTGACTTTGAGAGCTGTTCAGCAGTGGAACTCTCTGCCCCAGAGTGTGGTGGAGGTTCCTTCTTTGGATGCTTTTAAGCAGAGGCTGGGTGGCCATCTGTTGGGGGTGCTTTGAATGCGATTTTCCTGCTTCTTGGCAGGGGGTTGGACTGGATGGCCACGAGGACTCTTCCAACTATGATTCTATCATTCTATGAATGACACCCTGTTTGCTGGCTGCACTGCAAGAAGGAGGAAACAGCTGAACTTCAAAGGTCACTGAAGATGAGGGTCAAGGGAAGCTCCACCACTTGCTCCTCATGAGGAGGGAAGGGAGCACATGGGCGATCTTGCCTTTTGGCTAGCCCACCCTTTGTGTGCGGGTGGTAGGAAGAGGGGTTGATTGATCTTGATGTTCCATAATGTATACGATTTTAGCCTCAGTGATCCATGGTCTCTTAAAGGTTGGGAACCACTAAGTTAGATGCTCGAGGGCCAGGGCTCCCCAGTTCTCAGTGTTTATTCCACATTTTTTAATCTTAGCTTGAAGCCCATCTTTAAACCTCTTTTCTTGTTCATTCTGTTTTCCATTCTTAAGCTGAAAATAGACTAACTGTTTTGGGAGACAATGAGGCATTCAGTCCAGCTAAGTTGTGGTCTTTGCTTCTTCCAGAACACTGACGTTTCTCAACTTATCTTCATCCCAAGAGATTTGCATGATCCTTCAGAGGCAACACTGATGGAATTTTTCCAGAAGTCAAGTGTGACATTTGTAGATGGTCCATGTTTTGCAGGCATACAATAGTTGGAAGGACAATAGCCTTATACACAAGTATCTTGGTACCTCTACAAATGTCCCACTCCTCTAACACTCTCTGCTTCATTTGAAAAAATGCTGTCCTCGCAAAGCTCAGAAAGTGTTGTATTTTGGGCAGCTAAACATTGTAGGAAAAGAAATAGAATGTGTAAACATTTCAATATTTGGTGTGAGTGAGCTAAAGACATCAAGGGATATAATGCAAAGTGTTGCACTCCAGGCCTGGAAAACACCTATGACCACTGCACCACACAAGAGTCCAGGAATATAAGCAAACAGATTTATTGTAAAAACATATAAAAAGCATATTAAAATCAGGAATAAGAAAAGAAGATACATACTCCAAAAAGGCTTAGTAACAGGTGA